CTGCTTGTCTTCAGAAGGATTGGTTTGAGATACTCAGACCATCACATTTGTTGAACACAGAAGTACTTTTTGAAAAATTGTGTACCTTTTATTTTATGTAGGAATATGTATATACCCGAGTATATACTCCTACATTATATGTAGGACTGTGCTATTGCATGGAAATGTGAATATGTAACAAAATAATAGGACATGATCTTAGGAGCCATTTATGGAATAATGAATCGGAGAACCTTTGACAGCTTCATGTGATGCTTTTTTCCCCTTTCTCATGGCAACAAATGGAGTTAATATACTGACCATCGTTCTTAAGTTATTCTAAGAGTTTGTATACCTTTCCTAGAACTGTCAATAGAATAGTAATTAATGTCTATATATTTCCTGGTTAAAAATGCTTGTTTCTTTGAAAGGCAGAGGATTTTGCATCTTGGTATCCTTACACTCCAACCAACTGAGCCACCTGGCGAGAGTCCCCTTGGTAGCCTTAAGGATTTCATTTCATCAAGGAGAAAATTTTACACCCAGGAGAATTTAAAAGAAACATTCAGATTTAAAAAAGTATTAGTCTGGTAGTACTGTGGTTCTTGACTGTGAGTCCATGGCAAATCTCTGTACCTGTCACCAAAACCAAGACGACCCTCCTTTCTTGGGATCCAAGATACAAAAATAAATAAATGAATAAATAAATCCCACTGTCAGCAGAGAACCAGAAATGGAATGGTATGTTCGAACATCATTGTCTTGGATGGGGAATGCAGGGAAAATAACAGTTCTGCTAGTATCTGTACCTTGGTGTCTAAAACATCATGCTAATAGCAACTAAAATAACTTTAAATTAAAATAAGGGAAGATCTAGGTCAGAGTGGAATTTTTAAAAAACATTTTTATTGATTTCAGAGAGGAAGGAATAGAAACATCAGTGAGGGAATAATCATCAATCGGTTGCCTCCTGCATGCCCCCTACTGGTGATTGAGCCCACAACCAGGGCATGTGCCCTGACAGGGAATCAAACCCTGACCTCCAGGTTCATTGGTTGATGTTCAACCGCTGAGCAACGCTGGCCAGCTATTTTTAGTTTTGATAGGCTCTAGCCCCTATATTTACATGGATTATAACTAAAAAGTAAATGTATGAAAAAAATAAAGTATATGTTTTAAATGAGACCAAAAGTGTAATTTGTTTTAATTTAAATGCAAAATTTTAAAAAATCATTGTAACCATATCACAAGTATTTTAAAATATCACTTTTTCCAGATTCGGAGTCATGCATACTCAAAGATCCAGATCGAGGTTCGATTCCCAGTCAGGGCACATACCCAGGTTGTGGGCTTGATTCCCCAGTCGGGTCATGCAGGAGACAGCTTATCAATGACTCCCTCATCATTGATGTTTCTCTCTCTCTCTCTCTCTCTCTCCCTCCCTCTCTCTGAAATCAATAAAAATGTGTATTTAAAAAATATATAGTATGTATAGTTCTAAGGTACTAGAAGTTCCCCCTTCTCTGAGGGATATACGTTCCAAGACTCCCAGCTGAGTCTGAAATTGTGGATAGTATCTGATATTTACTGTTTTTCTATACATACATACTTATGATGAAGTTTAGTGTATAAATTAGGCATGGTAAGAGATTAACAATAACTAATGGTAAAATAGAACTGTAACAATCTACTGTAAAACAAATCTACTGTAACAAGAGCTATGTGAATGTAATGTCTCAGCAAACTGGAATTTTTTTTCCTTCACAATTTCACTAATTTATTCTTACTGTAGATTTTAGCAAGCTCGGCATAAAATTTTTTTCTTTCCTTAAGTCTAGAACGTTTACCTTTGCACTTAAAGGAAGTACTAACTATATGCCAAGGGCTTCTCTTTGGCATATCTGAATTTCCAGCATCAAAACTTTTGAGCTTCGCAGTCATGGTCAAGTAAAATAAGTTACTTGAATACCAGCACTACAATATGACTGGCAGTTGATCCAATAATTGAAACAGCTACTAAGGGGTGGGAAGTGTATACAGAGCAGAACAGTTGGAGATTCTGTCACACTACTCAGAATGGTACACAATTTAAAACTTAGGAATTATTTCTTAAAATTTCCATTTAATATTCCTGGACCACAGTCGACTGTGGGTAACAAACTGTGGAAAGCAAAACTATGGATAAGGGGACTACTGTAGTAATTAAAATTCTTGGACTTGTTTTCATCATTTTAAGTCTGATAGAAATCACATATTTTAAAAAATCAGCACAAGCTAACAAAAATGATTTCTTTCATTTTAGCTGTCATTGTATTAACGTGGTGGTACAAAGCTGATGACCACACACTATAGAAATTCTGACAGATAAAGGCCTTTGATTAATAGAAATGTCACTACATAATGAGAGCAATATACTATTTTACAAGTACAGCTATTCAAAACATATAGTCCACGGGGAGAAAATATTTAAAAGGTTTCCTGGCTACCCTAGTACCACTTAGTCCTATCACACCCCACCTTTTCCTCCCTCTGCTTGCATGGTCTATGAAAAACTGTCCCAAATATCTTATGGTTTAGGACCAACCTAGATAATCACTGTCAGTTCTATAGGACATATTTTTCATGGGAACAAGCAGTGGCTCGTTTATCAGAGGAACAAGAATGAATCAATGGTAATAAAATCCTACTTTCCTACAAAAAGATCTCAGCCCTCACAAATCAACTGTATTAAAGGCTGCTGACCAGTCTTAATGCTTAAAATTCATTTCCATAACACTTCTGTTCAAAATCTCGGCTTCAGAGATGCTTGATAGTTCAAGAGTAACTTGATATAAATTTAAGTTTCCAAAACATAGTAAGTTGGTATTTTCAATTAGGTAACTTCTCCAACTTGAAAAACCAGGATTAATCAAGGTTTTGCGTAGGGCCTATTGTGAGGCTAACCATTACTTTCATCAATAGAACAATCATCCCATGTGAGTATTCACCAGCAAATACACACAAAATAGAATACCCAAGTGCCATCTGAAGAAGGTCCCTTGGTACAACCCATCAATGACAGCAAATTCAATAACTTCTAGTCCTTTTGCCATAGAAGCAAACAATTTCAAGAGCCTCTTAAACTAGATGGCTTTCAAAGTCTGCAATTTATCTGGATCAATATTTAAATATTTATGTAGGGACATGTGTTTTTTTTTCCTGTAGAGACCTGCAGGATAAGGATAGCGTTTCTCAGATGTTCCTAATTTGTGCTGATCTTTGATAAACCACAACCTTATGCATTTTTTAAAATTCTTAGATTTTAAGGAACAAATCAGAGATTATGTTGAATATCCATTTTCAAACTGTACCTCAGTCCCAGCACCCTGAGATTATGCCTCCCCAAATGGCACACCTCTGAAATGAGTACTTGATAGAGTAAGCCAGAGATTAAACTATTAACACAAATTAAGTCTTCAAAATGCTCAGCATTACCCTGTAATCCCGACACCACTGTATCCTTTCCTAGTTTATAAAAAGTGGTTGAGAAGTCAAATGTAAATTTTTTTTGTTCAAAATTTGCTGAAATTCCACATCCAACTTATTTCAAGAAAAAATATATAAAATCCCAACCAATCCTAAAAGAACAGCCCATATTTTTAAGGTTAATACACTTTTGAATGACATTAAAGTTGTATTGCTTTTGCTCAAAGTTGAGACCACAGTAAATGGCAGTTTTATTAGCTTGGAAGGTTGGAGGAATGATGTTATCTCCTGATTTTGCTTAATGCTAGGATCAATTCAAATGATATAAACACACTCATCCCCTACAACTAAAAATTTATATACCCTGCAGTGTTCTGAATTACCCTTTCAGTGAAAATTAGCACCTTGTGGTTGACATCCTATCAAATCTTGGTACTGATGAATTTTTCAGATGCCCCTGTATTATAATTAAGATTACAAAGGGTTTGTTCCCTGTCACCATTATGAAAAAGATACACGAAGAGAATGAAATAAAAGCTCTGCTTACCACCCTGGCTGGTGTTCCTCAGTGGTTAGAGCATCGGACCACGCTTCGAAGAGTCATGGGTCCAATTCCTTGTCAAGGGCACATACTTGGGTTGCAGGTAGATCTTGTCTGTTGAGCACGTTTAGGGGGAGGCAACCAATTCCTGTTCCTCTCACATGACATTACAGTTGATGTCTCTTTCCCGACCCCTTCCCTCCCTTCCATTCTCTCTAAAAATCAATGGAAAAAACATCTAGTGAGGATTAAAAAAGGAAAAAAAAAAGCTCTGCTTACCCATGCTTAGCATCCCAATGGACATTTTAATTCTTAGTAGTCCTAATCTTGCCTGGCTTGGTGTGGCTCAGCAGTTGAGCATTGACCTAGGATCCAGGAGATCATGGTTCGATTCCCGGTCAGGGCACATGCCTGGGTTGTGGGCTTGATCCCCAGTTGGCAGTGTGCAGGAGGCAGCCAATCAATGACAACTCTCTCGTTGATGTTTCTCTCTCTCTCCCCCCTCCTCTCCCTTCCTTTCCCTGAAGTCAATATTTTTTTTTTAAAAAAAGTCCTAATCTTATAAACACAGCTATGAGACACCCTGGAATGGTAATGTTAATCAACAAAATTGCTAATAAGGTACCTGTTAGGTTGAGTAACACTAAACAGAACTTGGTTAAAACAATTTAGGAAGCATATTTAACAAGATAAACAGGTTGAGTATGTGTCATAGGTACTTCAGAATTTCTACCCCCACCTTCAATTTGTCAAATCACTTTGCTGAGTTCTAAGTACTTCAGAATTAAACCTTAATACTAACTTACCATTCATCTTAACAGAAGTGTCTAGAGCACTTAGCCTTGGCATTTAGAGCCTAAGATCTGAATTAAGTGTTGAGTCCAAAGCACCTTGGACAAGTGGGGAACACAAGAACACTCCTTTTCCCTCCAACTCTTTGTAAAAGATCTCCATTTCTAGATGTAGTGTATTTCTTAACAGTCATATATATCAAGACTTGATTGAAGAGTTTGAATTTTGTTTAAAAAGCCTTTATTCATTTTTGATCAGGGAAAGGACAATCTCAATGTCAACTTGTCACCTAATCATAATCTTGAACTTACAGGATTCACTGCCCTAAAAACACTGCACCTACTGACTTTGACAACGTAACTTAAAATGAAAACACCCCTTCTGTTCCCTAGGGTTGTACGTTTAAACAAACAGAATCCCCTGCAATAGCCAACACTGGTACTTGGCCTAGGTGTAAGGTCAAAATGGGAAAACAGGAGCAAAACAAGGCCAAGAGCATTGCAACTTGATAGCCCAGCAAGTACAAACATCATTGGAACAAAGTTGCAGGCACCAAATAAAAAACGGCAGGTTCATCAGCATTAAGTTTACACTTTAAGGTGAGGTCAACTATTCCACATGTGAACATGTATGCCAATCCCAGTGGCTAAAATGGAACACTGTAAGAACAAAACTTAAAATAACACCCTTAAATCCAATAACTACATTTAATGTAAAACTCAAAGCTTGGGTTTACCCAGGAAATCCTCCAAAACCTAGAGCTAAAACTGCTTTTTAAAAATGCACCAGGAAGATCTGTTGTAATATGACTTGGTCACACTTAAATTTGCATTAACATAAGACTTAAAGCATACCATTCCCCACTATTTCCTATGTCTGAATATGGATATGCTTAGCTACTCGGCTCATGCACTAACTGCATTAAAAAACGAAAGCTACTAACATTGCTTTTTCTAAGAGCTCACACCAAATAGAGCTTCGTAAGAATGCCCCAATAGAAAACTTCAGTTTGGTGCTTGCTGTGACATACCAAAGACGACTACAACTAATTTATTCAGCCACTATTTCATACCTTAATCTAACTTTTGCCCTAGTTTTAATCTCAAACTTATCTGCCAAAATCTTTGTGATAATGTTAACTATTTTTGATACTCTCAAACTGGAGCTCCTACCAGTTTAACTGGGTATAATTGAACTTTTTATGAAAACAATTAAAGTCATGGTATTATGATTACTCAAAGGTCTAATGTACCGACTTAAAAATATTTAGCAAATTGTAACAAATGGCTTTCCAGAGAGAAAAACAGAGCAGTCTTTTCTATTCATAAAAGGAGCTACCAACATGCTTTGTGCCATTAGAAGGGTACTTTCTTTCCGAATATAATCCTTGGAAGACTCATTGTCTACCAGAGAGCTTCCACTAATCACAGCACTGTAACATGGAGACTTCCATGACAGCATCTCCAGATACAGAGAATGGAAACCACATTATAAGTGTGGTGGAAGAGTGGGAGCATAGAATACACCTAACAAAAATGGGGAACAGGGTGACACTGTAGCTGGCTGTTCATAAGGACCACAGTTTCTCTTTACGGACCAATACTCCTTACAAAATAAACTGTGCCTTAATTATTGCTTATTTAAAACCACACTTTTACAGAGCTATTTAGTACCCGACGCAGAAAAACAATCACATAAGGAAGCATTTATTTGAGGTTTAACATGAAATCATACAAATAAAATTTGTATAAACACAAATCCACATTGAATCATAACACAGATAGCAAAAGACAAAGTAAAAACAATGAAAACTAATTAGCGGCTATATACAGTTGGACACAGTTGTGTCTTGTACACTAGAAAGTCTTTTACAAAATAATCATCTTAGAGCAACAGAAGACCAATCTTCAATGTCGTCCTGCCAGATGGGTTACTTTAGCAAATTTCCTCCTAAAAACAAAAACAAAAAAGCAATTAGATTTGTGCAACCCTGACAAGCTTTCAAAGGTCCACTTTCATGAATTGTTTTAAGTCCTCACTTTATTCTTTTCTTCAATAATTAAAGATCACATGCATATCCACGGGCAAAATGCAGTTTGGGTAATTAATAAATTCACCCTGGAGTTCCCAAATGATATCAAATTTAAATCTCTTTAGAAAAGAATCTGGGAATACAACTTTCCCATATCCACAGGTTGAACTGTGCTAGATTAGTCTACTAGAAGCATCTCTAGTAAACCAAGTAAAATGCTTTTACAAATAAATTTCTAGTAAGATGATTATATTTCAAGAAAAATTGCTGTGTGCATATGATCTTTAATTTATATCCCAGATTTTAAAGTTCTTGTTTTGGTTTGTAGATTTCACTATTAGCTATAAAAAGAAAAAGCAAGCATTAAATCTTAAAGAATGAACACTTAAAATGAGGCTCCACAATTGAAATACAACACTAAACAGAAGACCAAAATGATTAAGCTGTAAAAAGGCATTTATGTACTTTAACTCCTGTAAAAAACCATTTAAGTTAAGTTTAGACACTTAATCTCCAAAAAGATTAAAAAAGAAGCCAAAGTCTGAAGTTTTCCACTTTAATCTTTACGCTGGTACATGAAGTTGGAAGAGACCATACCACAGGACAGCGTTTTCTGGTGTATGCCTTGCGCTCTGCCCGCAACGTGCGACCCCCAGAGATAGACGTGGTCAGGGTGACACACGGCCTGCAATGAAGTTCCCGCTGGCGGGTACAAACAAGGTATAATGTCAGAGTTAGAAGACAACATTCGTGTTTTCCTTAAGTTGTACCCATTTCAGTACTTTACCTGTTAATAGTTCTAAAAATGTTTAATTATTCCTCTAGACCACCTGGTACACAAAGCAAACAGAAAAACTTTTAAGTTTTTCTGTAATACTAAAGAAAGTGAAGTGAAACTTTAAAGTTAAAGATCTATAGACACTTTAGGCAAAACAGGCTTATAAAGCAATAAAAAATTAACAATTTAGTAAAAACAGGCTACACAATAGTTTGTTTTTACTTGTTTTTATTTTGTCTATTGATCTTTAAATTAAATTAGACATTTCCACTGGTGTCTTGCACTCTTATACACACCTGTTTTGGCCAATGTCCTCCTTTAGTATGGCTGATAATTGTTTTGGTGATTGCCACCCCCTCGAGATGCCTTGCCGTAAGTGCTCTGTTGGCCTATTTTGTTAAGACAAAAAATTATATTAAGATAGTTTTTATGAAATGGTTTCATTATATAAGTATACTTAAAATCAAATGTCTAAAACTACATGCCAAATATGAAAATAATCCGATTTTAACAGCCATTATAAACTAGTCATAATCACATATTCTTGAACATTTATAACTACAATTTCTGAGTTAGTATAATCACCCTATTATTATCAATTGCCTTAAAAAACTCCAAGCACTTCAATAAATGGAAAATCCACACAATCTTAGAATGGGATTGTAATTTAACACTGAATTTTAATACCATCAGTTATAAAATTAAGTTAAATATTCTTACCACTGTAGTCTGCATATCCCTGTCCATATCCATAGTTCCCATAGTTATACCCAGTATAATCATAGCCGCCATAGCCACTGTAGTTTTGATCACCACCATAGGCACTATTGTAATTTCCATATCCTTGATCATAATAGTTATTAAATCCTTGGTTCCAGTTTTGGCCCTGACCTGAAACAATGCACGATGATTGTTAGCACACAACTTCTGACCCCTGATCCTAACATAAAATATGTTCCTGTCTCTCACCCTGCAAATCTTAAACAGAATGGACATCTATATTGCTATCTGATTGAGAAAGTATTATTTCAGTTGTCACCAAAAAAGTCCAATTGTGCCAGTACCAGGCTTCCTAAATTGAATGGAAAATCAGGACAAAGGTGAAGGCTGTCTACCTTTAAAGCAAGAACTCATAGGCCCTGGCCAGGTAGCTCAGTTGGTTAGAGCATCACCCCAATATGCCAAGGTTATAGATTTGATCCCCAGTGAGAGCACATACAAGAAGCAACAAATGAATGCACCAACGAGTGGAACGACAAACAGGTTCATGTCTCTCTCTGTCTCTAAAAATCAATTAAAAAAAACTTAAAGCAAGAACTCCTGTCCAAGAAAACATCGCACCATGGTGTATCAAGTAATCTTCACTATATTGAATAGTATTCTTTTCCCATCAGTGATGACACTGTCAACAGTGGCCATTCTTTGAAAAGGTGAAACCAGTAAACACAATAAAACCAAAACCCACCCACCATTCAACTGAGCATTTCCCATGTTGAAACAATTTATATCTGGCTTTACTTTCTTATGGGCTTATTCATATTTAGCACTTTATAGCTTAAACCATATCAAGTCATTTCCCAAGAATTAAGCCTCACCTCGGCCACGACCCCTAGTACCACCTCTTCCACCAGCTGCAGCACCTCTTCCTCCCTTCTGTTGTTGCTGTTGCTGCCTATATACCTCTTTGGGTTGGGCAACTTTGATTTCACACTACAGACAAATTTAAAATAGCAAACAAGATTGAGAAATTATTTCACTAATAAAAAGAAACTCAAAATCCTCATTTAATAGAATTAAAATGGTTTTACCTTCCCAGAACCAATTTGATGATATCTGCTTTCTAACAATTTCTTTACTGGCTCCTCATCTGTATATGTGATAAAACAAAAACCTCTTCTTTCATTTGTTTTTGTATCCATGGGAAGTTCAATATTTTCAATCTGAAATCAAGAAGCACACTCCAGATGATCCAGTAATGGTAAAAAACTACCAAAATGTCTTAAATACCACAGGTCCTTTGCAAGCTTCAACATAATGTTATTCTAATCAGATTGTATATAAACTACTAATACTTAATAACAACATCAAACTAAGTGATTTGTCTGTTAAGCACTTAAGACAGGAGAGCAAAACTTCCTTTAATATCATTTCATACCCTAAGGTGCCACTAGTTAACAAGTCCAAATACTGACCACACCACAGCACCCATGTTTTCTCCAAAATAAGTTAGAAATTGGTTTCCATTACAGCACAGAAAGCAGCGATTAAAGTATGGTGACTGGAAGGAACCCAAGCAGTAATTTAATCCTACCATCACCCAACTTATGAATTTGCTCTATAGGAAGTGGGCCAGGGATGAGTATTATATAAACACATCAAATATAAAACACACATAAACAGCCACACAGCGCACCTCTCCAAAGGCTCCAAAATATTCTTTAATTTGTTCTTCAGAAGTATCTGGGCTCAGTCCACCCACAAAAACCTTTTTTGGGGGTTCCTTCCCTTTTAAAGCTTTGGCCCTTTTAGGGTCTATCAATTTGCCATCCAGTTTGTGTTCCTTCAGTTCCAAAACCTAGAAGACATATTTATTTAATCTGACAGCAATATACAACCAATTCTCCGAACAATTTGCAAAAAGCACACAAAAGCAGCATCAAGCAAAACACATTCCTACCTTATCAACACTAGCAGCATCTTTGAAAAGCACAAATCCAAATCCTCTTGATCTTCCGGTAACTGGATCTGTTTTAATTGTGCAGTCTACAACTTCCCCAAATCGAGACAAATATTCAGTCAGATCTTTCTTGCTTGTATCCCAGCTCAAGCCTCCAATAAACATTTTACTAGAAATAAAATTTTTTTTAAAGGTTAGCGGCAGCTCGAACAATTACTTCCATTCTGGGGTTATATTTAACTATGAAATAAGCAGGGCAAGTTTAACTCTTATGCGCAAGTAATTTAATCCATGTTTTCAGATACACATTATCAATAGACCACGAAAATTCCAAAAGCCCATCGAGGCCACTTATCCAAAAACATCTTACAGCTTGCTCTCCACACTGCATAACTCAAAGTTTAAACGAGGACGAGGCCAACAAAATGTTAAACATTGGTCTACTTTAGAAAAGCCAACTTCCTAAACTAACCCCACACAATTTAGGTCCACCTTTTCCCTCAGCTGTCAAGCCAATGCTCCACCTAAAGAACTCATCATAACGCGTTCTGGGGATCTGTGTACCAGCGCTCGCTCGTTCCCAAACCGAAAGTTCTCTCAACACTTCCCAGGAAAACCGCGCGGAGCCCTAACAGAGACACAATGAAGAGGCGGCGGCAGCAGCTGCAGGAGGCGCAGCGAGGCGGACCCCTCCCCCACGGGCCCCACGCGGCGCCTGCGCACTCGGGACACAGACGCCGCCGCCCTCCGCCTCCAACCCNCCTCCAACCCCCTCCGCCCTTCCCCCACCTTCCGCGGCCCTCTAGAGTTATCCCCTCCGTTTCCCACTTTTCTCTTCCCTCCAAGCTAGTGGGTCCCAGTGGGCACGCGGGGAATTGACTCAAGGAAAGAATGTGGACAGCGCAGGGCTCTCGAGGGACGAAGGGCGCGTGCGGCGCGCTGGGGGAAGAGAGGAAACAGCGTGTGGTACCCGTCATCCTGCTGATTCTTGCTCGCGTTGATCTTGGATCCCTCGGCGAACTCCTCTGTGTTGCTGTACTCGTTCACGTCCTCCATGGTGGCGGAGTTGTCGGCTGGAGGGTGCTGGCGCGCACTTCGAGTCGCGGTAGCGGCGGCGGAGCGTTGTATGGAGCTGGATTTAAAATGGCGGCGGAAGAGATCCGGGCGCCGCCTGCGCCCTCCCTTTATAGCCGCCCCGCCCGCCAATCGGGAGGGCTGCTGGGCGGTGACGTGGCGCTGGGCCCGGCGCGCCCCCTGTCGGGCGGAGCTGGGAGCGAGCGAAGGGAGGAGTGGGGCGAGCTGCCGCGGCGCCCGTGGCCGCCAATGGGAAAGGCTGCGGGAGGCTAAAGTAGCGGGAGCGGAGGGGAACAATGGCGGCGGCACATGGGAAAGCCGGGGCGGGACCTCCATCGCGGCCCTCTGGTGAGGAGCGAGGTCGCGGGTGAGAGGATGCGGGCTTGGGATGAGAGAAGCGTCAGAAGAGAAAAACAAAGGGGCGAAGAGTCCTGGGTTCAAAAATCCCGAGCAGCGCCGTCGCAGGGCCAAGTCCCTCTTGCCTTGAGAGCCTTTGTCTCTGGCGTCCGGTCCGGCCCACTCCTAGCAACAGCCGTCAACCCTGCCTTCCTCCGCCCTCGGTTCCCCAGTGCGGAGCTGCTGCGGCGGCTGCTACCGACTAGCACCGTGGCCGGCCTGCTCCAGAAAAAGGCGGACTGCGCCCGGCACCGACGGATGAGGCGGCGAGCGCGCCTGCCCGTCCGCCGCGCGCAAGCGTGTTTTGTCCTCGAGCTGGCTGGAACCAGCCGAACAGGAA